ACATTCTAAATGACTTCGTTTCGAGTAAATTCTGGATGCTACCCACTCAGGACACTTGGAATACATTGGACGAGCAGTATGGAGGAATATTGAAACGTTTTTTGTGGACTTTTATGGACCTTTCTGCCTCGGGCGTTGGACACCTCCATTATTTGAATGTCAGCAGACAGCAAGAAGCCTCCCAGATCTCCAGATGCATTTGAGATATCAAAAAAGTACTCCAGAGTGTTGTTCAGCATGGGGGTGAGTAGAAAATGAAGGCTAATCATGTTTTGGGTGTACTATTCCTTTAACCCCAACCACTTAGCGGATCAGTTGCTGTTGTTCCGAATCACTTTCACTTCATTATGAGTTAATGTTTATGGTGGATTATTAAGAAGTTAGGAAACTTTACAACTGGACTTGTTACTTATTGCAAATCATCTCCAAACCAGGAACACGATGGAATCCACTGAGCTCTTTAGAGCGACCCATTCTTTCACAAAGGTTTGTAGAAACAGTATGCATGCCTGGCAGATTGATCCTACGCAACTAGGGAGATCTAAGTAATTAGAAAAGCGGATATTAAATATTTAGATGGGTGAGAAAATATAGTGCATGTGTGAAATAGGAGTTGGCAATTCCAACCTTCCCTTGTAACCAGCGCTACCTCTGTCTTTTGAATTAGTGTGTACAGGTGCTGGTCATAAAATTAGAATATCATGAAAAAGTTGATTGATTTCAGTAATTCCATTTAAAAAGTGAAACTTGTATATTATATTCATACATAACATACAAACTCATATATTTCAGATGTTTATTTTGTTTAATTTTGATGATTACAAATGACAACAAATGAAAATCTCAAATTCATCATATCAGAAAATTAGAATATTGTGAAAAGGTTCAAAATTGATGGCCCCTGGTGCCACACTCTAATCAGCTAATTAACTCAAACCACCTGCAAAAGCCTTTAAATGGTCTTTCAGTCTAGTTCTATAGGCTACACAATCATGGGGAAGACTGCTGACTTGACAGTTGTCCAAAAGACGACCATCGACACCTTGCACAAGGAGGGCAAGACACAAAAGGTCATCGCTAAAGAGGCTGGCTGTTCACAGAGCTGTGTCCAAGCACATTAATAGAGAGGCGAAGGGAAGGAAAAGATGTGGTCGAAAAAAGTGTACAAGCAAGAGAGATAACCGCACCCTGGAGAGGATTGTGAAACAAAACCCATTCAAAAATGTGGGGGAGATTCACAAAGAGTGGACTGCAGCTGGAGTGAGTGCTTCAAGAACCACCACACACAGACGTATGAAAGACATGGGTTTCTGCTGTCGCATTCCTTGTGTCAAGCCACTCTTGAACCACAGACAGCGTCAGAAGCGTCTTGCCTGGGCTAAAGAGAAACAGGACTGGACTGCTGGTGAGTGGTCCAAAGTCATGTTCTCTGATGAAAGTAAATTTTGCATTTCCTTTGGAAATCAAGGTCCCAGAGTCTGGAGGAAAAGAAGAGAGGCACTTCATCCACGTTGCTTGAAGTCCAGTGTAAAGTTTCCACAGTCAGTGATGGTTTGGGGTGCCATGTCATCTGCTGGTGTTGGTCCATTGTGTTTTCTGAGGTCCAGGGTCAACGCAGCCACATACCAGGAAGTTTTAGAGCACTTCATGCTTCCTGCAGCTGACCAACTTTTTGGAGATGCAGATTTCATTTTCCAACAGGACTTGGCACCTGCACACAGTGCCAAAGCTACCAGTACCTGGTTGAAGGACCATGGTATCCCTGTTCTTAATTGGCCAGCAAACTCTCCTGACCTTAACCCCATAGAAAATCTATGGGGTATTGTGAAGAAGAAGATGCAATACACCAGACCCAACAATTCAGAAGAGCTAAAAGCCACTATTAGAGCAACCTGGGCTATCATAACACCTGAGCAGTGCCACAGACTGATCGACTCCATGCCACGCCGCATTGCTGCAGTAATACAGGCCAAAGGAGGCCCAACTAAATACTGATTGCTGTACATGCTCATACTTTTCATGTTCATACTTTTCAGTTGGCCAACATTTCTATAAATCCTTTGTTTTTATTGGTCTTCAGTAATATTCTAATTTTCTGATATGATGAATTTGAGATTTTCATTTGTTGTCATTTGTAATCATCAAAATTAAACAAAATAAACATCTGAAATATATGAGTTTGTATGTAATGTATGAATATAATATACAAGTTTCACTTTTTAAATGGAATTACTGAAATCAATCTACTTTTTCATGATATTCTAATTTTATGACCAGCACCTGTATGCGGTGAAACCGAAACAGTCTTTTTCCCCAGAATTTTGCTCAAAAGTGAATTCACATGCAGTATTGATCTCTTAATGACTTGGACTATCTGACTTTTTTAAACCTTAAAATATGGTCTGAACAGGTACTTTTTTCATCTCTTACTTTTTAGCTTTCTTCTGTCTTTAAATTTAGCCCAATCCTTTATTTGCTGCAATTTGTAGTTTCTAACACATGTTTTTTTTTCATATGGTGAGCAGTTTAAAGGTCCTTCTCTGTGTATTTAGACTCACATTTTTCATCTTCCTCTTAGATTTAGACTTTTATTTTGAAGGTCCTTCATAATGGTATTTGTTCTGATTTTGTCATTTAGATTTCTTCTCTTTGACAAAAACAAACGTATGTTTATTTCTGACCAAAACAAGTGTGAGCAGACAAAAAACATTAGAAAAGGTTATTGTTGACGTACATTTTACAAAGCAAAATAGCTTTATAATGACCCACTATGTCTGATATATATAAATTACAGTGGTAATTTGAGCTTTGATGTGGTAGTAATGTTGTAATACTCTTTGGCCTGATGGTGTAGCCCTAAACCTTTTTTCAGCTTCAGTAAAGGGCCTCACTTTCTTTCCTAAGGCGATAAAGATGTTGTGAGCCTGCACCTGGAACTCTGTATAAAGAACTTAACAACCATTTTGGGTTAGCAGTAAAATCTGAGGGGGATGTGAAAAGAATTGTGCAAAAGAATGCTGCAAACAGACTCTGACACCTTGTGCTCCATTTCTTATTGGGCAGACATGCCTTTAAAAAGGCTGATGTACTCTCATTCACACATCTGTTTCATGAAATACTTCCACAAAGCAGACCTGGGTTCATTAGGGTCGTGGTAAGATGTGAGGCGGTTCACTGAATCTAAACAGCTGTGTGGCAGAGGCACTCGCTTTTTTTTTTGGTCTATGCTTCTTTTCTTTAATGCAGCTGTCATCCTTTGTGCCATAACAAGTTTACAAGTTATTTTGCTCTGTGCATCATGGGGATAATCTTATTTTTTTAGATTTCTTTGCATCTAATTAATATTGTTATTAAAAGACTATGACTTTGTATGGAAATGTATTTATTCCACTCTCCTTGCCAACATCTAAAGGTCTTGTCTATCCATTGCATTTACCCCACAATGTGGTGTCATCCGTTTTTCATCTGTTTACCATTCAACAATACAATGAACCCACCATCCGTCCTTCCTTCCGTCCATCCATGCATCCTCTTACATGTTTAAAGATTTACTGAGAAGTCTGGATCATTTTATTTACGTTTTTAAAACTTAAAAACATACAGGAGTCTTGCATTTGATGTACCTCCATGGCTCATTTTGCAAAATCTTAAAAATCTGGTCGCAATTCCAATAGACTGTAACAGGATTGATGTCAGCACCATTTCTATCTAAAATATATGTACATTAAAACTTAATGAATATATATCGTGCATATTAAATAGTAATTACCAAGTTTTGGATGGAAGAAGCTTGTTTTAGAACATATCCCTGTTGACTTCCTAATGTGCCTCGTCCACTCTAAGACTGACATTTTTGGATGCATTTGGAAGCCCTTTTTGGATTATGCTGAAGGACTAGGGATGGAACGGTTTATGAAAACCGTCCGAACCGTTCGGTTCGACTGTCTCGGTTCGGTTTGCGTGTGTTGCGTTCGGTTCATGCGCTGCTCCTTTTTCTCATAGGTAAAGCGTGTACACTCCAGAGCAGAAGGTGGCGCTACCCGACCAAAGCCAACCACTAGTAGTAAACAAGAAGAAGAAACGAAGCAGCGTAGCCGGGTGTAGCAGAAAAAAAATCAGTTGTTGTGGAGAATTTTGTGGGTATGGCGAGTGGGAAAGAACAGGAGTTGGAAGACGCGCCAGCAGCACTTTATAGGTCTGCTGTATGGGACCACTTTGCATTTAGAGTGACCTACGATGACGGCAGAAAGAAAGTTGTGGATAAAATTGCCACAGTATGCAGGCATTGTGCAACACGTTTTGTTTATGCTAACAGTAACACGACCAACATGCCAGGCTAACCCCGAAATCCTACATACACCGTCAGCGCTCCGCCCCGCTGCGCACCAGACCGCCTGCACAAAGCAAAGCCTACAGCCTCCGCTGTGGCTCCCGTCCGCTCCGCTCTGAGTTCCTTGAAGATCGTAGAGGGCATGCGCCAGATGATTAAATTCAAAGCAGCAAAACATGCGGAAATGATCCAGGGTAAAAATAATTACAATCCATTAATTTTTTTGGATTTTCTCATTAATTTTTATGGGATTTCGGTGTAACAATCAACATATACCGAACCGAACCGAAAACCGTGACCACGAAACCGTGAACCGAACCGTGGATTTTGTGAACCGTTCCACCCCTATGAAGGACATGTGTCTACTATTCTGTCACAGGCATTCATAAATGTTTTGATGTGGACTATATCATGATCGAAGTATGCACGCCCCCTTTTTTATTTTTATCTTTTTTTGTCTCCTTTGGACTGCACTGCTGAGCTTTTGTTCTGTTCTTTGTTATGTTTTGTTGTTATGAAACCAAAAATTAATAAAGATATCTTTAAAAAAAAATAGTAATTACCAAATAGTTTAAGTGTAATGTTATATATTTTTACCCTAAGAACATGATATTTTTCTTAATGACTTTGTGAGTGCTAACATTATTATTATTTTTTTTTTTATGTGCAGCAATACAGGCAGGACTGTGAGACGTTCCGTACAGTGGTGAAGATGCTGATAGACAAGGAGCCCTCTTTGGATGGTATGCTGCAAGCTCCGCTGGACAAGAACCTGTTGGAGATCCGACAGCACTGCCTAGATGCAATTAAGAGCTTTGTGATGGAGCTGGATGAGATATTGGAGCAGCCTGAAGCAACAGCCTGATATTTTGATGGCAGACTGCTAAAGTGATGTGATGTCACTTGGACTTGAGCTGAAAATCTGTGGACTAAAAAATTAAATTTTTTATTGTATTTCACATGTTCTGTTCAATGTATTTCCATAGCAGGAGGGATGGGATGGAATTTTTAAAGGATTAATTAATGTTGTTACAGTAAGGTACACACAGTATTAAATAAAAACAACTCAACATAGGAAAAAAAATAGTTTTAACCAAATTATATGTATAGCTTTGAACTTTTACTTGCTTTTATAATTGTGTTGTCAGAACTACTAAAGGTTATAGCAGAACATTTCAATGGGATAATATAAAGAATTTGGTTATTTTCTTGGTCATTTGCAAACGTAAGTAACTCCAACCTTAATTAGGCTATAGTTAAATCGCTGTTTATGCTGAGACCATGTTTTAGTGTTTAAAAACATGTCTTATCCTGGAAACTCTTTTTTTCTTTTTTACAGTTTCATATTTTAGCTTTTGAAATAAACGTCCATTTTTTTTCTTTACAGCATTAGATTGAATATATATATTTCACAACAAGGAAGTTATTACATAGATATTTTATTATTGTTACTAATTATGGCCTTATTTCCCTGTTTGTACATTTATACAGAATACATAGGTTACAATACAATGAAACAATTAGTACACTCCTCAGTGAAGCAGTGTAATACACACAGTGCTTTTTTTATCTTGGCACACAAGCCTGGAAGCAACACATCTGAAGATTCACAGGCTACTAAATAAATCCACATTAAATGGTCCTCAACCAACTGCCAGTAGTTTGGGATCTATGCCATTTTGTCACAAAGACCATTAATTGTTATCGCCTTTTCAATTCAGCAGTTTATATATCACAACAGCATTTTAAATAAGCACTGTTTAGATTGTGTGTTATAAATATGTATCAGAATAAAACACTTTACTGATAGTTGTAATGACACAGATGTATAGTGTGCAACACAACTACCTTGACAAACTGAGTGCTGTAAGGCATTAAATAGCAAGCAAATTGCTGTTGTACTTTAAATGGTTAATGAAATAAAGAAATTTAAGTGGCAGCATTACAAAAGCTAAGCAAAGCCTATGAAATAATACAGTTTTTGCTTTTACGTCCTTTTTTCTTTTTGGACTTGGTCCACTGGTTGTAAGGAGGAGAGGACTTGCCTGCAACTTGGCTGGCTAAATCATCAGTGTAATAATGTCTGTGAGGTCTTGCCTGAGGTATAGGCTGTCCCAGAAAAAAACCTTCTTCGTCTGAGTCAGAGGAGGAAGAGGAACACGTAGAGCACCAGTCATCATCATCATCACCACCATATAATCCCAAAAACCTTCCCGTAGCTGGGCCCGGTAGTCTGTAATCCGACATGGCAGCTGAATTGGGGTGACCGTGGAAGACTTGGTGCCCCTTTGGTCCGAATGAATTGCCTCTATGGTCGCTCTTGTAGCACATGGGTGCTCTCTCCTTTGGGAGAAGATTAAGGGCATTGTCAGACCGTGACTTGCGACTGCGACGCCTCCTGTGGTGGTGATTATGTCGACCAGATTGTAGGTTGTGCCCCTGGTCATCAAAGTGATACACTCTCCTGCGAGTTCGTTCACTCATAGGGGGCTGACGCAATGGGAGGTCGCCATAATGGCCATTGTCCACCACATCATCAGAGAACTTGACCTGCTGGGGCCTAGATTGCGAGCGTGCCCTCCTCAAGGCAGGGACATGAGGTTTGGGCCTTTCCTGTAAGGGGACTTCTGTCACTTCTGGTACATGTTCATCCTCAAGACTTTTTAAGGAATTTGTACTTCTATGTAACATTGACGAGTTGAGGGTTCCCATATTGCTGGTTTTGTCACAGTCCTCTGCATCATAGTCATGAAGAGCCTGGAGGGAGTACACCTTAGGCCTTGCTTTATAATCACCACACACTGAAGCACCTGGAGAGGAGACAAACAATTACAAATGGTTTAGAGATGAAGACAAGACTGTCAAGAAATGTTCTTTTGCGTCTGCTCACCAGTGATGTTGGAGAGAGCGAGAGACTCCTTTGAGTCCCGGACACTTTGCTCTTTTTTCTTGAACTCCGTTGTAATGCACTCCAAAGAGTTAGTGTACCACTGCGGCTCCTCTCCAGGCAAACCACCTCCGGCACTCTGATCCAGTTCCAGCTCTTGGATTTTTCTGCTGCTTGCTGGTCCCGGATGGCTACCATATGCAGAGTCCCCCAACCCGTCCTGTGATTGTGTCCGGTACATGTCAGCCTGGTATGTCTTATTGACCAAGCCTCCCCTCTCTGCTCTTCCACTGCTGCCAGTTTTGGATGACTCCTGCTTTGATTTGACATCTGCTATCCAGAAATCTGTAGGTCTAGAGTCACAAGTTTGCTGAAAAATCCCATGTTCCCCAAACTTTAATAACAGCTGTGTCATGTAGTCTTCATGTTCAGCCCACTCCTCTTCTTGGTCTTCTGGTACCTCTGCCTCCTCTCCACGCTCCCGCCACAAATGCTCATCTGATAAGCTCATGTGAGCCATCTTGGTCAAGGTGTCCTCTGCATTTTCACTAATGCCGGGGAACTTATAGTTGACAGAGGGCGAGAAGAGGAGTGACTGTCTGCACTGGTCGGCTGAGCGACTACTTTTGCCCAACCTAACGCTGCAGCGGGATTCGCGTGAGCGTGCTGATTGGAAGGCAGAGTCAGAGGAGTCAGAAGCATGCACGTCTTCCCCAAGAGCACAGGCCTTAGAGCAGTAAATGTGGCCCTGGTGTGGCAGGAAAGGACACCCAATGAGAGAGCTCTTACACTGGCCACAGCTGAAGCAGTTTTCACTAGCATGCCAGTGGAGTCCATCGTAGGTCATCTGAGCATGATCAACACCTGCAGAAAAGAAAACGTTAATGAGGGCAAACTAGGAATTTGAGTCTTTAACTCAATAAGGGTTTTCCTACCAATATGTTCGCCACAAGCTTCACAATATTCTGCATAGAGGGACTCAAAGCAACCACAGCAGTAGGGTCTGCCGTCCTTCATGATGTAACGCTGCCCTCCAAGAATGATCTCACATTCAAAGCAGGAGAAGTGCTTCATGTGCCAGTGGCGACCCTCTGCCTCCGTGCATTCATCAGCAAAGATGATCTGTGTTAAACAGAAAACAAAAATGTATTTAGACTCAACATTATAAAGTGCTGTAGTCACGTTTTACTGTGTTTCCTATGTGGTTTTACCTCGTCACAGGCCGAGCAGCGTGGTTTGAGCAGTTCAGCATGGTGCCTTCCACAGTGGATCTTTCCATCATGGTAAAAGTAGATCAAATCCACCAGAAGTTCATTGCATGTTGAGCAGACAAAGCATGCTGGGTGCCAGCACACCCCAGGACTCGCCCTGGAGGCAAACACTGCCATTTCCCCACCGTTAATGTTGTCACCACACTGAAATCAAAGGAGTAACAGGCTGAGTTTAAAATGCAGAATTACATATTAATTGTATTTTGAAAGTAATAAAACTTTATTGTACTTAATTTTGCTTTATTTTCCACTTAATTTAATCTGCTTTATCTGAACGTGTGCAGAGCTTAGAGGCAGTGACTGAAAGAGTTTCTCGTTTAAGTTTTTGACATAACGAATGACATTATTTAACAAAGTTAGTGCACATGGAAGCTATCTGATGCAAAAAGAACACATTGTAAAAGTAAATTAAAATTGGTGTTTATATCTAACACATTTAACATTTTAGTTGTTTTAAAATGTAATGCTAAGGATTTGTACCACTTCAAACTTCCATTTATGTAGATCATTTGGAAAGTAATTCCATTCAAGACCAATTTTCCATTAATCCCAAGAGGAAATGTAATTACTCGTGCTTCTGGTACTAAGTGCTGATAATTTACCAGTACCTAACAATAAAAATCCAGATTATACCTGTATGTTTTAAGTTTCAGATCTTTGTTTTTTTTCAGTTTTAGATTAATAATGAAAATGATGAGCATATTAAAATAAAATCTGCTATAACTAAAGAAATTGTGTGAGATTAATTTTGGGGCTTGTTAAAAACAGAATGTCCCATTTAAACGTACCCACATTTTGTCACATTACAACCACAAGCTACAAAAATAGTATAGGCACTAATTGGATTTCATTTAAAAGATCAACACAAAGTTGCACATAACTGAAATGTAATGAAAAGGATATAATTATGTAAAAACCTTTTTTTCCCCAAACAATACTTTAAAAGTGTGGCGTGCTTTTGCATTTAGCCCCCCTTCTTTCAGTAGCCCTAAAAATATCCATGCAATCCAGGTATTTACTTGGAGGTTTATTAGAGAACAAATAGCTTGAAGATTAAATTAGACATATTTTGGAGTTTTTAAAAATACCTCAGTAATGTTTAATACTTTGAAAAATGGGGAGCAGGGGTCTAAAACTCCAGCCCTCGAGTGCTGGTATCATCCTGCGCTTAGATGCATCTGTACTTCAACATACCTGACTTCATCATAACCGCACTGGCAAAGCTCTGCGGAGCTACATGCAAGTAGGGTTGTTAAGCCATTTGATTTATGTGTATGGAATGAGAAAAATCTAAAAAAATGCTGGACATCTGCCCTCAAGGATTTAAGTTTTAGCTCTTCCTCTTAAATTCCAGACCTACATTAAAGGAAGAATCTATTGGAGAAACTTCTGAATTGCTTTTAACACTCTCATCCAGTCTGGGTTTAAGCCATTTTGAAAAGTACAGGCAGAAATCTTACATATACCCCTAAACAATATGATACAGTTTCAGCAAAACATGGATTTACAAAGTGCTAACTCTGGAGGGCTTAATGCAAATGCACATCGCAGTATTTTTAAAAACATGTATCATTTTCTTTCAAATAATGATGCATTGTCTTTTTGTAGGCCTATTATATGTAATCTCAACAGAATACATAAATACTTTTGGTTGAATTGTGAAACTATTTAAGAAATGTAAAGGTTTTACTAGATGAAATTGGATAAATATTGATGAGTATGAATTATGATTTCGGACAGAATTTTATTTCTTAACTGCAACCTGATATAATGAATGATGTGTACAACTCACATGCTCACAAATGCTGTTTTGAAGATTGCGGGGTGTCAGTTTGACGGCTCCTCTTCCCAGTGCTTCTTTTTTCCTCTGGAGGCTGAACATCTGCAACTCCTTCTTCTCTTCCTCACTGAGTGTGTGACAGTAACGAATCTGGAAAAGGAGGTAAAACATTATGAATAATAAAACCATTTGATGCATTAGGCTCCGCACAACATTTGTCACATTCGCTCCTTCTTAGTGTCTTGCTTTGGATAAGCAAATCTATTATTGAGTTTTGTGTAATAGGAATGCTGACAACTGATCAAATTTATGAACCTAGGGAAGTTTCTGAAAGGAAAGATAGAGGACCAGAGCGTGCAGAACAACTGCAACTCTTGACCCCGGGCTGCCCTTCCTACACCCCACAACAGATCTCCACCCACTGCTCCTGTTTGAGAAGCTATTTTTTTTTTTTTTTTTTACAATGGGCCGTTTTGATGTCCCTCAAAGCCCTAACAAGAGGGAAAGCAGACGTTTACACAAACAAGGCCTGTGTTAAGAGTGGATTCAAGAGGATAGAAAACAAAGGAAGAGAGACAGCCAAGTTGAGCCATGGTGCCACTGTGGTGGTGGCATCACATAAAGTCTCTTTCAACCCGCAGCTCTCTCTCCCGCTGAGCACTCCTCGTAAAAACCACTGCTATGACAGGAATCCTGCTGGTGGGGGCTTCCAGCAAATATCATAAAGTCATCAAGTCAAACGTCACATTGTGCCCATACAACCCATCTTTAAGAAACCTGAACAAATTCCCCTGGTGCAATGTCATGCTGTTACTAAGGGCTTACATTTGTCCAATGTAACGGAGGTAGTAAGAGTTCAAGATCACCGTAATTAATAAAAATTGGACTACCTGCCAGAATGAGCTGTGCTGTTCTTTGAAACAGTATATTCTAGGGTTGTCACGATACTAAACTTTTCAACTCGATACCGATACTAAGTAAAATATTCGATACTCGATACCCTTTTCGATACCACAAGAATAAAAACAAAGACTCTAAAATTCAACAGAAATATTTTCATTACTAAAAAAATACAAGAAATAAATAATAAAACAATAAGAATAATATTTGAGGTTGTATGTTGTGCACAATATTAAGTAAGCTTGATAAAAAACAACATTAAAATGATGTGTTCCTTCCTTGGCTATGTTTTGCAGACAGCAATGACGCTAGCCAAACCAGTTAAACAAAAATAATTCTCAGCAGCTGCACCTGTTACAGAAAAAAGTCTGAAACTGAAAAATGCACAGAATTATTCAATCACAGTGTTCAGAAAGTGCATTTTCCACTATTCTGCACTTTAGATGGCTGTATCGATACTTTTGAAAATGAGTATTGTATCCGGATACAACTTTTCAGTATCGATACTTTTTTGAGTATCGATACTTTTGACAACCCTAGTATATTCTCACCTCATTGTCATGTGGTGGAAGTTGGTAGAGGAGTTGCTTGATTCTGAACTTCTCCCCTGGACTGTTTACATATGGGACCTTATCCTCAGGTAGACAAGAGAAATATAACTGCACCTGAAAACAAATCAATACAAAGAGTTAACCAACGGTTCTGAAACATTTCTGCTTCCTGCCAATAAAACAAACTTTAAAGATAGACATGAACCTAACTACTGATTTATTGTAAGCATAGCAAATGAGTCAAAATAGGTAAACAGCTTATGAACCTTAACTTTGTTTTATTTTAAATTTTTAAGTACAATTCATGTATTGTCTTTTTCTGATGATGACTTAAGTATCAAATTTTATTAATAAATATAAAATATAAACTTAAATTAATTTAAAGGTATTAATAAATACAGCTTTAAACAAACAATGCAACATTCTGTTAGGAGTAATATTTAGGTAATGGTTTAGACTTTAGACTTTAGATTAAACTTTATTTTCCCCTTGGGATTACTCCCTGAAGGAAATTCTGGTTTAAGATGATTACATGAATACATGCTACTCTGACCAAATTCTTGTAAATCTACTATAACTATTCTCACATAGGCACAGAAGACTGCTTAAAAAATCACTACAGCTTCTAATTCCTTCAATTGCAGAATTATTCTAGTAAAATGTGTAACTACAGAACAGTCGTCCTTGGAAAGAGCCCTCATCCTATCATATAATTTTCTGAAAGCTGTTAGATTATAAATGTTTTGCGTCAAAGGGCAACAATAGGATCAGGATTAAACATTTTAAAAACTGACTGCAATTTAAACGTTTTATTGGACTAGTCACAGTAATATAACATTGTATCTCTTTAGCAAGGTCCTGTTTTTAATAATATTATTTTCCCCAAGAAAGTAAAGAACAAGGGTAATGATATTGTCTCGAGTGTTGATGATTATTTTGTCCCACTTAGTCCCATCATCTCATTCACATCTGGGCACAGACACTAAAGGCACTACCCATGTTGGAGGTTCTTGGTCCTCGGCTCTTTCCGAAAACCTGTAATTAAAGTACCTAGGTCAACAGCAAGAGCACTATTCAGGGTAGGAAAGGAGCTCTGGACACCTGTGACAAATCCAGAGAGCTTTCGGCCTTTTGGACGTACATCAAGCTCTTTTATTCATAAAATAGAAAGTAAATAATTGGTCACAAAAGTTTAAATAAAAAAATATATATATATATATATATTAAAAAAAATTCTCACTGTACACTATGAGTAGATAGGTGAGAATTATTTTTCAAAGCAGATATGAAACATCCCCAGGGTGTTACAAACTGAAGTAATGTTTGTATAAAAAAGCCAACGGACAATCATACCCCCCCAAAAAAAGAAAAACAAAAATCTAGGTAAAGGGACAAAAAAATCTAAAAGAGAAAGATGTGGGATAGCTTTATATAACATGTTTGAAAAATTAAACCTTAGGAAATCTTACTTTAGAGTGACACCTGATATAGTCATTGGTATACATGATACCAGTGGAGCTATCACAGCCTTCATAAGCGACACCAACCACAACAGGTCAGCAGGTCGGATTGGTTTAACAGTTACATTTTCCAATAATAAGCTTGCCTCTATAGGCGCAGGACAAAGGAAGTCCCTCATGGTGAGATGCTGACCCTCACCGTTGGCCAATGAAATCCAAACTTTATGAGTGAGGGGCTATCACTATCAGCCAGATAAAGAGGGGGGCGGTGCCTGTTTTGTGTGTGTTGGGACTTCCTGCAGCTTCGGGGCGTCTGGAGGTATGAAGCAGTTTACATTCACAACCACCCCCTGTTCCTTCTCAAACAGCAACACCATAAATTATGCACATCTTTATTCTACTATTACCCCTTATCCAGTACCCCTGGGGCTAGCGAACAGTCAGTTATCACCCAAGACCTATCTGTTTCTGCACTGTAGTGGTGACCCCTAATGCATTGCCCATTTAGACAATTGACTGCAGTAAAGGCATTACAGTTGACCTCTCATTCCCCAGTGTTAGGGGTCTCTTCTGCTGCATTCAGATGTTTCCTTGCACATCACCTGCCATTTACTACTTCCACGTCCAAGCTCAGTAAAATTCATTGGACACCATATTTTGAAGACTTTTTTTCCCCAAGTCTTGAAATAGATTCTTTGAATGGGTCAATTTTAACACATTTAGCAGTAGCTCTGCTTGTATGATTACGGTAGTTAAAAGGTCAACCTCTGCCCCTTTCTCAAACATCTAACAGAATTTTTTTCAAGATCACATTGTATCAATCTGAATCCATCTGTAGAATATTACTATCCTGCCACATAGTGTTTGGCATGTAAGTCAAAAGGGTTCAGTTTTGGTCTCAACTGAACAGAGCTGCTTCTCCTACATTTTTGCAGTTTCCCCACTCATGGCACTGAATTGGAATTCTTATGACCTTCTCTCAATGAGGTCTTTCATTTTCACACTGTTTCATAAATGCCAGTTTTGAGCACCGTTAAACTGACAATGGTCTTATCAGATTCTTCATTCCCTCCAGAGTAACCATCCACACTTCCTCTCTGATTGATCCTCTTCATGGTTGGCCCTTTGATTTCTGTGGACAATTCTGCTGGTAGTTTTTTTGTTTTCACTTGACAGAATTATTGTTTTATTATCTTATTGGGCAACGGTGGCTAAGGAGGAATGGTTTGACACTTTATCTACCTTGCCTTCTCTTGGTGGTGAGAAGGCCTGCCAGCACCAGTTGTATGGCAGCCTCACTTTATTCTGCCACAGGGTAGCTGTGGCTACAATTGTAGTTTGCTACCATCAGCGTGTGAATTACTGTATGTAGTTTAAAGGGCTGTGTATAGTCCTGCAGCAGTGTGCCGCAGTTAGCTTGTCGCAGGTATGATGCAGATATTTTGGATTTATGCCCAATTTTGAAGCGTTGTCAGCGCAATTTTATTCCACGCCACAACGCAAGACGGACAATCACAAACTAGCTAGGATTGTGGGTGTCCATGTGTCTGTTTGACGAGCTTGTTGGCAGTCTACAACCCCCCATCCAACGGCGGACGACACACAGTTCACTCGTGAGTGTCCCCGAAAGACTGGCAGTGGAGCTGTGTGTTTTGGCTTCGGATGCAAACCAAAAGACCGTCGCACGTAGCTACAAACTAGCGTCCTTTACGGTGTCTGGGATAGTGTCCGATGTGCCAGGGGTTGTGGACGGCACTACAGCCAGAGCTTCTACCATTAGGTACCAAAGAGGAAATATGCATAGTGTAGAGCGGATGTAGAATTGACTAATCAGAGATCTCCTGTCTCTCCTCCCTTGATGCTCTCTGGTGCATTTCAGTGGTCACCTACAATTTCAGGGGAGTGCACGAGCGTGTCTGCGGATGGGGGGTGGACATACTTGCATGAAATGCTACACTGGTTTCTGAGCATAAACCAGACTTTAAGCTATTCAAGGTCCTCAGGACTTGATAAAGCTCTATATAGGTGTATGCCATTTACTTGTGTTAGTGACATAATATCCTAATATTATACAATATGGTTTGTAGCTGTAAAGTGACAAATATAAAAGAGTATAAGGGGCAGGAATATATATTTTAATTTTGGTTAGGGTATGTCTCAAAAAGAGTTAAGCAGGTTTTATCCAAAAATGCTGCCCATCCCATAGGCAATGTACCTCTGAGAGTTAATGTGTTATCTGCAAAGTGTGCTGAATACCATTTATCTAGGGCAGTTAAATGGGCTATAATAGAGTTAGAATCGGGTCAGGGCTCTTTTTTTTACCATCAGGAGGATAGATTATTAACTGGGAAGGAGGTGATTTGATAAGTAACATAATAGACATCACATCTTCGGGGAGTGTCCTTATTTTTAACACTTCTACCAAAAATAATCATCCCCTAGTGGCCATTTTCTTCTTACCTGTTCAGGTCGAAGGCCAGGTGGCACCCAGGCATACTCCTCCAGAGCACAGCCAGAGTCATCATCAGACGTCGAGCTGCGCTGAAAGCCAGAAGTTAGCTTGCTGACTTTTTGGTCCATCATACAGTCCCTTTGGTGCGTCCCACAATGGAGGTGGAGGACTGGTCCCACTGCACTCGGCAAGCTCATCAGACTATGTCACTGAAACGACATGGAAATGAAAGAAGATTTAGAGGTTAGAGGTTGAAAATACTGCACTTGTGTCACTGGTTCCTTTCAGCTGTATATTAACGGGCTGAATCACACTCGTTGAGACTATAATCAGGGTCACAGCTTTCCCTCAAAAGCCCATTATAGTATCTGAGGCAGCTTTTCTTGGCAAACTTCGACCAGTGAGTCTGACTTCATAAAGACAGTCATACAGATAACTACACCCTCCGACAGCTATTGTGGTGGAAGCCCAACATGTGCTGCTCTTATGTGTCTTTGTAGATGTATAAACCATTAGGAATTTCCCAAACCCTCATGAGTTAATTGTCAATCTCATCAAAGTAACAATAAGAGTGGTACCCTAGTTAAATAACACTAAAATGAAACAGAACACTGTAAAAAAGCCTCAACCAATCTTAGGTTTACCGTCACCAAAAATCACATGCACCATTAGATTTTAACTCTTTGATTTTAAACCAAAAGTGTTGGATTGTTTGAGTGAGAATCGGTTAAAACAATAAAAGCAGATGCTATATGCCATGGGCGGGTTTAATTAGCTTTGATAATGGCATAGATAAAGGCCTGTCAGAGAGGAAACAAGACCGACAGCAGGCTTCTAACATTTTTTTCTAAAGGAAATGAACACAGGAGACAGTATATATATATCTCACAATCTTCCTATGTAAAACATATAAAACATGTAACTTGTTTTGGATAAAAAGGTCATGTAAAATTCAATAAAATTGAAACATTGTTTTAGATTTTCACATCACTTTATCATTGCTGGGAGTATCCATGTAATGGTAAAATTAAGATGACTTAAAGGTTCATAAAACAACATTTGCATAAATTACCATAACCTTTTTTAAACTGGAGGTTTTTAAACACAGTGCTGCTGGTCTAAAACTGGCTGTTAGCTTTAGCCTCTTGGTCTAGCTAATTTGAGTTAGTACTAACTGAAGGCCTAGAAAGAGTTATATAGGGAAGATAAAGGTTTCCTATAACCTTTTGACATATTCTAAGAAATTTAGCGTACACCATCAAAGTCTCTTATCACTGAATTAGTTTAGGTTGGAATGGGCCACTGGTTCACCATGTTGATTTTATACATAACTCTGTTTCTACATCACTCATTCTTCAGATCCCATAAGGGCCCACCACATGGGATCTGAAACTGGCCTGATCAGTTTAGTCTGAGGTCTGAATAAACACCAGTTTGGCCTGAAAGAAGGTCCACCATATGGGAAATGTCCACAAGCCTGCTTCTGTCCCTTCATCTCCCTTTTTTTTTCTTTGACCTGTTTGTTTTCCAACCTGCTGCAGTGAGTGTCTGATCATTCTTCTTATCTTTGACTTAAACAAAGCTATGCCAGACGGGTGAAGTAGCTGGGAAGAGGGGGGTTGGAGTCGATTGATGCAAACAATACCCTACCAGGCATAGAAAAAGAACAAGATGAACCATTGATGCTAACTGACCAGCTGTGTTTTGTTTTTTCACTGCTAGGCAAAGCCTAATGAATAAATTCACTAAAGGATGTGTATCTTTAATATTGCACAAAGAGTTAAAGGGATAGTTCGGTATTTTTGACATGAATCTGTATGGCATGCCCATCACCAGTGGCATGCAATCACACTGACTTACCCCTGGCAGCGTCCTGTGAGCAGAGTTATCGTCCAGTTTTGGTCAAGCCGAAAGTAGTCCGGCAGGTTTTTAGGACCAGCGAAATAAAACTTTTCTCTTCCCAAAACATTATGTGTTCAAAAGAGTGATATTTTTGCATCCCAAAAACATTGTAGTGGAAAAAGTCACACGTCGTTATCAATTGGTCCTATTTTCTCTCTGTTCGTATCAGTGCGCGCCGTCATTCAGACAGCGAGCTCAACAACAGCCAGATGCATGTCTCCCTCCGCCTAGCTCCTAGCTGGGCGGACCAGCTAGGCGGAGGGAGACATGCATCTGGCTGTTGTTGAGCTCGCTGTCTGAATGACGGCGCGCACTGATACGAACAGAGAGAAAATAGGACCAATTGATAACGACGTGTGACTTTTTCCACTACAATGTTTTTGGGATGCAAAAATATCACTCTTTTGAACACATAATGTTTTGGGAAGAGAAAAGTTTTATTTCGCTGGTCCTAAAAACCTGCCGGACTACTTTCGGCTTGACCAAAACTGGACGATAACTCTGCTCACAGGACGCTGCCAGGGGTAAGTCAGTGTGATTGCATGCCACTGGTGATGGGGATGCCATACAGATTCATGTCAAAAATACCGAACTATCCCTTTAATGTGCAGAAACTGACTTTATAATCTGCTCACAAGCAGCAGCGATAAATAAAACAAAAATATACATTTAATGCTTTTTAGCGCTGACAGTTCTCCATATTGTACATCGGTTTACAGTTTGGGGCACCATTTTATCAGGACAGCTTCACGATTCCAAAAAAGAAGTCATTTTTTTATTTACCATTTGCATCCTCTTGTACAGAAAGAAAAACCTGTGCCTATAGGTTATAATTTCCAAAGGCTTATTGCCAACTAATGCTAAAAGACAGTATACCCATCCCCGAGTATACCCTGAACATAGCATACTTAAGATCTTTTGGAGGTTATACATGGCTCATTGTTAGTCAAACCTTTAAGAACTGAGTAAACAAGGCTTTAATGAGTGTGTGTCCAGTTGTGGTCATTTCTCACAGGTTGAGGGTTTCTCGCTGAGATCAAATGGGAGTTCAAACCAGGATCCAGCAAGCTGGTTTTTACTCCACATCCCCCTCCAACACCTAACCTCCTGTGGCTTTCCAGGGCACAGAGGGCCACAGAGACAGCTGAGAAAATCAGGCGCACTCAAGCGCAACCTTTGAATGCAGTTTGAGGGCCTACTAATCTGTGCTCTCTTGCCAAGTGTGATATATCTATATCTCCGGCTCCTTCTTGAAGAGGGATTGCACAAATAGATGCAGATGTGCAGACACACAGAAACAGGCTGTGATGAGTCGGAACAGTCCTGACAGTAACTGCCCATTTAGATCAGCTTATCTTCTTCAAGGACAAGGTGGTGACGGTGGCTTCAGTGCTATCTGATTCCCTTTTAGCTCCAAGTATGATGGATGATAGGTGTATTAGGTTGGGAGGATTTTGTCATAACATGTCCTGATAAAATTTATCTGATGCCCTCAACAATAGCACCTTTGTTAATAAAACTATTGTTTTAGTGTCTGGTTTCTTTTTTGTATGTAAAGTATGTAAAATTACCTGTCTTCCACTGAAAGAGGTCAAGAAATAAGACCCTATTGTTCATATTGCATCTATTGACTTGCAAATGAGACAAAAAAACCTGCAAAAATGTGGTTCTGCGTGAGAGCAGCTTGAGTTTCCCTATGAAACACATCTAACAGCAGCATGGCTCTGTCTGTCTGTTTACTGACTATCAGTGAGGATTGTTCACACAGCCGGAACATTTTCAAATCCTTTTTTCTAAGCTCACCACTTCTCCTCTTATTTTAATTTTTCTTTAAGATGTCCTCCAGCTCATTTCTTCTGACTTTACCCGTAACACTTCCTTTCCATCATCAATAAGGGAAGCACTGAGCCAGCTAGCTTTCAGAGACTTTCGCTGACTCATCACCTGTTGAGGCCTTTCAGAGTTTTGCACCAAACAAGGGATCCATGGTTTGCGATTGTACTTTTTTTGAATTCCCTTACATTGGCCTGTGTCCCCCACTCCCTGCCCTCCTCCTCACACTTTCCTGACCCCCTGCAGTCCTCAATGTTTAACAGCCTTTTGTAAAGGTGCTTGTTAACATGGCTTTGAGGAGCTGCAAGCCTTGCATATCTGTCTGATCTGCCCACGTAGGGCTGGAGGGCAATAGGGGGTGTGATCAGACTGAAACAGAAACAGGGTGACATACATGAATGAAAATGTCAACTTCATGTTTAACAAAAGAAGAGCAAGTTGGATTTCAGCCAATGCAGATCTGGAATTAAGGAACTCATAAGTTCTGTAAGTTATTTGTACAAGGAACCTTATATTTAAACACCTTCTCTATTAGGGCTAGTCAAAATAATGTCTCCTTCTCATGTAGATCATTCCTCCCTGGCTGGGGCATCTGACTCTATGGTAAATTTATTAATCACTAGATGGAATGCAAGCTCTCAAAGAACTGCATAGAGAAATGAATTAATAAATGCAGAGAAAGTGGTATTTTTATGTAGGATTAAACAGTGAGCCACCTTAAACCCGGCCCTTGGAGCTTTTTGATTTACAACCTTTTGGGGAGTGGAGCAGCCTCTGGCCTGAATTACTGTCTATATTCCTCTAGGAAGTGGGTGATGGACATGCACACAGCCAAACACAGTGCTCTCTGTCACTTTGCACTAGCCTAGCATGTTTAACTTGGCATCGGCTACCACAGTGATGCAGGATCGACTCAAGCTGTTGAGAAAAACAAGAATTTCTCCTCTGTGGGCCTGCTTGCTTGGGCTTAACTCAGAAAACTTGTTTATTTTTCTGTATTTTTAACATTTTTAGACAAGATAAAAAAAAAAAAAAAATATGCAGACCATTCATCGTTTTTCTGTAGACAGAAAATACTTTCAAAGGTGGGTCTGTCAACTTTTGGCACCAAACTCGTCTTAGTTGTTAAAAAGGTATAACATAAAACTACAGGCAAGCCCAAATTTGTTCAACAGTTACACCCTTGTCTGAATCATGAGGTCCTCCAGTGCACCTAAGGAAATCCTTGTTAAATCCCCAACTTGTAACTGAATGATCTTTATATCCATGACATGAGTAAATAAACGGATGCTCATAAAACCATGAAGTGAAAAACAACATTAAGGATGTTAATTTGCAGCTTTAACTTGCAACAGACACACATTAATGTCATATGGAGAAGTTGCAGAAAGGAAGTCCAGGCTGGTTAAGTGAATATGAGCACTTTCTTCCAGAGACAAATGAATGAGAATGATGTTTACACAATGATTTACAG